GGTTGGGGGGGGGTTCTTTTTGAGACAGGGTCTCCCTGTAGCCCCAACTGGCCTGGAACTCACTATGTAGACGAGGTTGGTCTTGAACTCAGAGATCCACCTGCCTCTGCCTCCCGAGTGCTGGGATTAAAGGCATGTGCCGCTTTTCTGTTTTAAAAGATAAGCCATGTGTCTAGACATATAGCTCAGCAGTTAAGAGCACTTTCTACTCTTGCAGAGGACTGGAAAGTTTGTCTCCCCAGTAGTTCAGAACTGCCTCTAACTCCAGCTCCAGGAGAACCAATCCCCTTTTCTGGCCTGTGCAGGCACTGACAAACATTCACAAGACACATACATACACATAAATAAAAATAAAAATCATTTAAAAAGGTAAGCCATTTAAACTGGGGGCAATAATAGACTGTAGTTACAGGTGCTTGGATGGCTGAAGTGGGAGGATCAGCCAGGGCAGTATAGAGAGACAAGTTAAAAAAAAAAATCACAAAACAAAGAAGGCATCAACAATGACAATGACAACAAATCATTTAACATTTCCAATACTCAGTTCAGTTTCAGAAATTCAATGAATAAACATTAAACTCTCCTATTTACTGGGCACTTACTAAGTCTTGACATGTTAGTACCCAGTACTTTTCACACTGGATCCTCACAGAACACTGAGGTCAGAGACCTCCACTTTATAGATGTTTAGTGATGGAACCGGACTCACATCTGTCTGGACACAAAAGCCTGGCCTTATTTACACAGAAGCCTCTGAAAAGACAACAGTATCAGAAGAGAAAGGCCCAGGACTCCATGAGAGCCAGAATGGTTCACCAAGGACATGACAGCAAACATCTTGGAAGACAAGACATTACCATCTGAACAGCGCTGATATACTGCTTTTGCTCCACATAGATGTGTGCTAAGTTCAACCACACATCACTGATATCTGCTGTGGCTTCTCTCACTTGGGCAAATACATCACGCGCTTCCCGGAAGTATCCTTTGTGGGCCAAAACAGCTCCTAAAGTTACACAAAGGCTGATATTTGAGAATGTCCTAACTGAGGCCAGAAAACAACTCAAAGTCCAATTTTAAAACAACTACACTGATTACATTTGGCGGGAAAATCGGATCTACAAGCATTTCTCCAAAGACTCATCTCACAAATCATTATGGATACCGAGGCTTATAGTCACCTATGCCATTGGCAGCGTACAGGTTCTTTGCATCATTTCTGAGTACTTGCTTGTAGATGGCCAGGGCACGATCTTGATGACGCTTTTCCTGGAAGAAGAAAGAAGCATTACCGAAAATTTCAACAAGCATGCGAAACATGTTTTCTTGAAAAAGACTACAGGGATTACCTTTTCTCGGTCTCGGGTTGGCTGATGCAAAGTTTGGAGCCACACGTTGCCAAGGGCTAGCATGGAGTAAGTGTCACTTTGTGTAGATGGCTGCTTTAATATCCTTTCAAATTTCTTCTGGCCCGGGCCCCATTCTTGTTTTGCCAAATGGAGGTTACCAATCAAAGACCAAGCATCTGGGTGATCCTAAAGTCAGAAAAAGATGTAAACTCTGTAATCTGGTTCTGAGAGACCAGTGTTTGCCAACAACTAGAGGTTTATAGCTACATTACAACGGTAGCTTCTGAACTCAGAGTTGAGACCCACTGAGTTGCAAAATCAACTTAGTGTATGTATCAACGTGCAAAACGCAAAAGAACAGAATAAACATGGCAGCATACTGTCTACTGGTAAGAGCAAATAATGACCCATGAAGCTTTCCTTTCAGTTGTCTGTGTACACACTTATCCGTGATGTGTACTAGGATACACATCTTCTTATCCGTGATGTGTACTAGGGTACACATCTTCTTCACAATCAGAAGCTTAGATAACCTCTATGACTCCATTCAAAATACTAAGACACTGACTGTAAACTTTTCTAAGAGAGTGTTAACTAACAAAAAACCAAGTGGAGTAGAGAGGCTAAGCCACGAGTCAGATCATAGCTGAGCATAGCAGAAGGACAGGATGGGAAGAAGGAAGAAAACACTAGAGGGAGGGAATAGAAGGCATTCATGTATTAAAAGATGTGGTCCCCGTTATGACATGACTAAAATTATGCAAACTACCGAATTCTTTAATGTTTAACAAGTGAAGCAATCAAAACAAAACAAGTCACTAAAAAAGAGATTCCAAGGTTACTAGAGATACTGTAGCCATTAAAAGGAAAAAATAATTTTGAAGAGTAAAAAGGAAAACAATTATTTCTGAAACCCCAAAGAGTCAACATCACCAACCTGATTAATCTGAAGAGCTTCCTTAAACCAGTCTGAAGCCTCATAAAAGTTTCCTTTATCTCTAGCCATAGCTCCCAGGCGCAAATAGCCTGAAAACATACATTTAAAAGCTTTTATGTTCAAAAACTACATGTGAAGGATCAAAACATTAAAGTCATACTTTTGAACAATCATGTTTAATTAAAACATTCAAAAAGAAAAGTCTCTCACAGGTGACGAATCATTAAACATTAATCAAATGAGGCAACCTCGACAATTTGAGTCTGATTCCCAGAAGTCACAATGTAGAGAGAGAACACTGATTCCACTTCATTCCCAATGCCAGCACCAGCTCCAAGTCCGTGTGTCGAACTAAGATATTTAAACAGCCTCCAAGAAGGTTCTGTTTTTCATTTCTCTCTGGTGTAAACTAATGAAAGGTACTTTTTCTTAAAAAGTTATTTCATCTTACAGCTGGGCGGGGTGGCACACGTCTTTAATCCTAGCACTCAGGAGGCAGAGGCAGGCAGATCTCTGTGAGTTCAAGGCTAGCCTGGTCTACATAGTGAGTTCCAGGCTAGCTGGGGCTACAGGGAGACCCTGTCTCAAAAAGACCGAAAAAAAAAAAGTTATTTCATCATATAACAAAATAAAAACAGGCTATATGGGACCAAGATGTAACTGTGGCTCTTCCACTAAAATAACAGTAAAGTGCCACAAAAATTAAGTTGTTTTCTCTTGAAAATAGGTAATCAAGTCAGTGAGAGGGTTCAGTAAGTAAAGATACTTGAACCCTGACAATCTGAGTTTGATTCCTGGAAGTCAGAATGTAGACAGAGAGCACTGAATCCCACAAATTGTCCTTTAACCTCCACAGTGTGCTATGTATGGCACATGCATGCCACCCACCCCAATTAATAAATGTTAAAAAACAAAGAAAAAGAGAATGGGTAGAAAGATGGCTCCGCAGTTAAGAGCACTGACTGTTCTTGTAGAGGACCCAGGTTTGATTCCCAGCACCCACATGGCAGCTAACAACCATCTGTAACTCCAGTTCCAGGGGATCCAACACCTTCTTCTGACCTCTTCGGGCACTGCACAACACGAGTGCACTTACACATATGCAGGCAATACACACATACACATAAAATAAAAATAATAAATATTAAAAAAAAAACCAGAGCCTCAAGAAATCATGAATAAATAAAAATAGCCAGGCATGGCAGCACACGTCTTTTATCCCAGCAGAGGAGGCAGAGGTAGGCAGATCTCTAGGAGACCAAGGACAGCCTGGTCTACACAGCAAGTTCTGGGCTAGCTGATACTACAGGAAGACCCTGTCTCGAAATGGCCAAAACAAACAAACACACACACACACAAAAGAAACCAACAACAAAAAAAAAAACCCAAATTAAAAAAACAAAACAAAACAAAACAAAAAAGAAACCAATGATGGTTCATTAAATGCCTATCTAAGTTCAGTCTGGCATTCAACTAAAATCTTATTCCTTAATTTATTACCTTACTATTTTTAGGCTAGGTTGGCTGGGCAGTGAGCCCCGCAGGTCTTCCTATCTCACCTTCACCAGTGCTGTGATTATAAACATGCACCACCTGGCTTTTTTATCAGGGGCTCTGGGACAGAATTCAGGTCCTTATGCTTGCACACCAAGTACCAACTGAGCTCTCTCTCCAGGTCCCAATTTTTATTTTGAGACAGGGTTTTATGTACCCCAGGCTTGTTTCAAATTTGCTATGTACCCAAAGATGACCTTTGAACTTTGGTTTCTCCTGCCTCCATCTCCTGAGTGGTGGGATTGTTGGCATGCACCAAGATGCCTGGATTCTGCAGTACTGAGGACTGAAACCCAGTCTGCATGGAAGGCAAGCCCCAGATCAACTGATGTAGCCTCAGCTCCAAAATTTATTATTTTTAAAATTATTTTTTAATATAGAGTATAAGAGTGCTTTGCCTGCATGTATATTACCACATGCATGAAGTGCCCAAATGGGCCAGAAGAGGGAGTCAAGACCCTTGGAACTGGAGTTACAGATGGTTGTGAGTAGGTACTCAGAACAGAACTCAAGTAGCAAGTGCTCTTAACCGCTGAGCCACCTCTCTCTCCAGAGCCAAAATTTATTTCATTTTTTTTCCTCAAGGAGTTAAGAGAACTGGCTCAGCAATTAAGAGCACTGACTTCTCTTGCAGAGAACCTGGTTTGGTTCCCAGCACCCACATGTTGGCTAACAAGGACCTGTAACTCCAGTTCCAGGGGATTTGACACCTTCTTCTGGTATCATGCATTGCATGACACATGGTGCACCTACAAATATGCTTGCAAAATACACACACACACACACACACACACACACACACACACACACACACACACAAATTCCCCAAAAAGTTTTAAAAACTTTTTCTAAGTTAGCGTACAAAGTAAAGGGTTTCTTTACAGCATTCTCATACATGTCATATTTATTCTAAATCACTGTGACTCCATCATGGCTTCACAGATAAAAAGTCAATAATTCTGATTTGACTAGAGTCCAAACATCATGTTTTAAGTACAGTATTTCGCCCCCTTACCCTTGGGGGATCCATTCTAAGGCCCCTACACATGCCTGAAACTGTATATAGCAAGAACACTAGAAATACTCTAGTTTCACTTATATACAGCTATAATGAAGCTTAATTTATAAATTAGGGACAGAAAAAGATTAACAACAGTAACTAGTAACCAAATAGAATAACAGATGAGTGAGAATAGACTATAATAATTTGAATATGGAATTTCAAAATAGCTTTTTTCTTGAAACAATCTCTATATAGCTCTGGCTGGCTTGGAACTCAGAACCACTTGCCTCTGCCTCCCATCAAAATATCTTATACTGTAGTTCTTAGTAGCCCTATGTGCCTTTTCTTTCCTTTTGAAGTCAAAGACTTTCAACTTTTCATTTAAAGAAAACATTTTATGGCTTTTCTTTGACATATCAGAATTTGCAGTATCGCTACTCTTGCACCAGGGGATCATTATTAAATAAGGATTACTTGAACACAAACACTGATATGCTAACAGTCAATCCGCTACCCACAGTGGCTACTAAGTCATTAACAGTATGGACACATCGAACAATGGGATGATTCACATCCCAGGCTGGGTGGAGTGCGAATATGAGATTTCATCGCAGCATAGAATAGTGCACAAGTTAAAACTTATGAATTATTTAAGGAATTTTCCATTTAATATTTTGGGATTACAGTTGACTGTAGGTAAATGTAACTGCAGACAGTGGAACCTTGGAAAAGGACTAATATACAGCATCTAAGTTATTTTTTTAATTTAATACTTTTGTAATTTACAATGTCTAGGTTGTAAAAACTAAAAGTAGGACATCTTAGTAAGAATTGTTTGGAGGAAAAACACTTCTCTTACTACTATTATACAATGTAAAAATGTCTGTATGAAATTAAAACAGGACAAACTATAGCCATTATTAAATATGCCAAGGAGCTGTAGCTGACTCATGAGCATAGCAATCTAGCACTGCTCAAGTCATTTTTGTTGACTCTTATTTTCCAGCATAAATATAGGTCAGACTGCACCTTCTGCTGTTTTTTGTTTGTTTTTGAGACAGGTGGCCTCAAACTTTGGGTAGCCCAGAGTGGCTTCCAACTTTGCTGTGCAGTGAGGCTGGTCTTGGACTCCAGATCCTCCTGCCTCCACCTCCCAAGTGCTGGATTATCGATCTGCACCACCATTCTCGGCTGCAGCTTTTTGTTAAGGATACCAATCTGCCTTCAAGAGGGGACATTAGAACCTCCAATTTTTTTTATTAGTGGTTCTAAGAAGGATTTCCCCCCCTAAATTTTGCTGCTGCTGTGGGAATTTAGGATTTTTTTTTTGGTCTTTTTGAAACAGGGTTTCCTTGTAGCCCCAACTGGCCTGGAACTTACTATGTAGACCAGGCTAGCCTTGAACTCACAGAAATCCACCTGCCTCTGCCTCCCAAGTGCTGGGATTACAGGCATGCACCACCAAGCCCAGCGAACTTAGGATTTTTAAAAATATGTATGAATGTATTGCCTGCATGTATGTAAGTGCACTAGTGTCATATAATGCCCATGGAAGTCAGAAGAGGGTGTCAGATCCCCTGGAACTGGAGTTACAGACAGCTGTTAGCTACCATGTGGTTGCTGGGAACTGAATCTGGGTCCCTGCCCAGGAAATATATTTTTTTAATATCTTAAAAAAAAATTTTATGTGTATGTGTGTATTGCCTGTATGTAGGTAAGTGCGCCAGTGTTGTGCAATGCCCCCAGAAGACAGAAGAGGCTTTAGGATCCCCTGGAACTGGAGTTACGGACAGTTGTTAGCTGCCATGTGGGTGCTGGGATTCAAACCCAGGTCTTCTGCAACAACAGTCGGTGTTCTTAATCACTGAGCCATCTCTCCAGCCCCCTTGCCCAGGAATTTTTAAAAAATGTGTATGAGTATATGTATATGTATGTAAGTGCACCTGTGTTGTACAATGTCTTTGGAGGTCAGAACGGTGTGTCAGATCCCCTAGAACTGGAGTTATGGACAGCTGTTAGCCATTACGTGGGTGCTGGGAATTGAACCTGGGTCCTCTGCAAGAGCAGCCAGCGCTCTTAAACCATTCAGCCATCTCTCCAGCCCCAGAATTTAGGAATTTTATCATACAAGAAAAGTCGAAAATTCTTACAGTCAACATAATTGGGATGCTCTCGTAAGATGTTTTTATATAGCTTTTCTGCTTCATGGAATTCGCACATGGCCTCATAGAGTCTGGCTAGATTGTATGATGTGGTAACAGAGATGGCATTGTAATAGTGCTCATCATGCTCAGCTTCTGCCTTCGCTCGATCCAGTGATGCCAGAAAATATTTCTATGAGGAAGAAAAGAAAGTGACATCGTCAAAAAGACTCTGCACACACAGAAGGAAAGGATGCATTTAACCTAAGTACATAAAAAGGATGGTTTCTATTATTCCTACCTTTGCCTCCCCTAGGTTTCCAAGTCTAAAATGGAGGGCCCCAACATTATTCAGAATCTCAGGAGGGACATCAGCCTGCACCTTCTCCTGAAGGATTCGTGTGGCTGTTCCATAGGCTGAAAGGGCACCCTATATTTTTACAGTGGAAAAAGGTACATGTGCAAATCAAAGAGAAATACCACACTGGCTTATAAAAACAACCATTTAGGAGACAAAAAGCAGACTTCAATACCTGTATATCAGTTTGTTCTAAGATTTGGGCCAATTCAATCCAAGCTTCAACATCATCAGGATACTGTTCCGTGACCTTCTTCAAATGACCCTGGGATAAACGAGATCATGAAAGTAAAGCTGTCAAGGTGAAAAACAAGGGCTATTGTAAGCTGCTGAACAAGCCAACAACAGTTATGAAGAGGAAGGAGTTCAGATAAGCAAGCAATTACTCACAGCTGTACAGCAACAGCTGGGCGTCTTAGGCCAGCAACGGTTCTTAGAACATACCTTGGCAATGTCTCGTTTTTCTTGATCTTCTGAGGCAGCATAAAGAGAGCCGAGAATTTTCATAGTCTCATAATTGTTAGGATAAGCTTTCAAAACTTTTTCAAAGCACTGAGATGCATTCTCTTTGTCACCTCGATAAATATACATTTGTCCCAAACCAAAAAATGGTAGCACAAAAGAGGACGAAGCAAACTGTGTGGCTTGATAGTAGTACTGAAAAGCTTGGTCATAATCTTCCTAAGAGATGAAAATAAAACAAGACCAACACTATGTATAGAGGTGTTCAGAAGACCTGAATACCTCTAAGAAAAGGACCAGATGTTTAAAGAGACAAAATGATCTTACCTGAACATGGAATGATCGAGCCAGCTGATAACAGCTTTCTGCTTGCATAGCCTCCACTTCGGTATTATGGAATGCATGGAGAGCCAGGTGCTGGACTTTACTATAATCCTGAATATTGGCCATCAGAAAAATCAATTGAGTAATGTTGGAAGGTTGCTTGGATAGCTGCTTTATCTTAACCAGTAACATTTCATTTAGCTATAATGTGTATTTCCATCTTCTCTCTAAATAGTTGCATTTTAGTATCTAACAGTTATAGCTTCAAGCTTAATCAATAAATTGCTGTGCTTTTCTAGCTGTAGAAAATACAGCACTGATTAGTAGCTACATGGCCTTAAGCTACTAACTCTGCTTATATTCACTCATCAAGAAAATGGGCACAGAGCTGGGGAGATAGGTTCAGTTGGTAAAGTGCCTCCTGTGCAAGCATCAAGATCTGAATCCAGATCCCTAGCACTCACATAAAAGCTGTGCATGGTGGCTTATGTCTGTAATAACCCCAGCACGGGGTGACAGAGAAAGGAGGAACCCTGGAGCTCACAACCAACCAGCCTAATTAAATGAATGAGCTCCAGGCTGAGTGATAGACCTGTCTCAAAAAAAAAAAAAAAAAGTGGGAGAATGGTAAGGAAGGCACCCGACATTGATCTCTGGCCTCATACTTCTGTGCATTTACACACACGAGCACATGTCCACACAAACACGTAACACACACACACACACACACACACACACACACACACACACACACACACACACATACACACACACGAAAGAGAGAAGAAAAAGAAGAGGAGGAAGAGGAAGAAGGGAAGGAAGGAGGGAGGACAAAAAAAAGAGGCACCAGACTGCTTATCTCATTGGATGGACTCAGAGCTTACAGAAGTCTGGAACGCACTTTGAACCATGCTTAAGACTTAGTAAGCACTGAATGCACACGAGTAACAGTAAGAAGAACACAGCAGCTCGTATTAAGACTGACATATCTTTGTTAACTTTTACCTAAATTGTTATATAAATATTTTTTATGTAACGATTTTTTAAAAAATTATTTTTATTTTATGTGTATGAGTGTATTGCCTGCATGTATGTGAGCACACCCAGGTCGTGCAATGCCGCAGAGGTCAGAAGAGGGCCTCAGATCCCCTGGAACTGGAGTTAAGGACAGTTTGTAGCCACCATGTGGGTGCTAGGAATCGAACCCGGGTCCTCTGCAAGAGCAGTCAGTGCTCTTAACCGCTGAGCCATCTCTCCAGACCCCATAAATATTTTAAAGTTCATAGTAAATTTAGTCCCTGGTTTGAATATGGTGAGTTAAACTTTTCTATTTAATACATAACAACTTTGTCAATGGGTGGTGTGGTGGGGGAGGGGGACTAGAGAGATGGTTCAGCAGTTAAGAGGACTTGCTCCAATTGTAGAGGACCTGTGTTTGGTTCCTAGCACCCGAATTGTGGCTCACAATTGTCTGTAACTTCAGTTCTAGAGGAGCCAAAACCCTCTTCTGTCCTCCACGGGCACCAGGCACCCATGTGGTGCACATACATACCAGCAAGCAAACACTCATACACATAAGGATAGCGCGGCCATTAAAGGCTAAGGCTAACAACCAAAATGTTAAAGGTTCAATTTCCAGTACCCACAAAAGCAAATCTTTTTAAAAAACATGAAACTTCATTAATGGGGAAGGGGTTCACAAGGTACCATCCCCTCTATGAGAATCTGTAAACAGTTGGTGGTTGCTAGGGGGGAGGGAGGAACATTTTCTTCAGTGGTATAGCTATTGGTAAGTTGCTGTGCTCCTGTAAATAACCTGTCACCCAAGCTGCTGTAAGCAACCTTAATTAAATTCACTGGGTTGACAAGAAAAAGTAGGGGCACTAGTTGGAAAGAGGAAGGGGAATCGAGTGGACAAGAGGGTAATGGGAGGCAAATATGATCAAAGCGTATCATTCATATACATATATGAAAATGTCACAGTGTAACCTATTATGTATAATTAACATTTACTAATAAAACTTTAAAAAATGGAAAAAAAAGCTTTGTCAATGAGATCTTGAATTTAGTATTGTAAGAAATCTAAAATACCATTGCTTCTACAAAATTAGTGGAACATATCAAGACCAGCATGCTCTGTGCTCCAATCACTGGCTCCTTGTTCCTACTAAGTACACAAATTCTATTAAGCAAGTGCTCCACTATCTGGCTCTAGCACACTACCTGTTATATGCCAATATGTACTATGTTCTGAGTACTCCAATGGCTGAGGCTATCTCAGACCCTTGTCTTACCTCTTTCAACACCTAGTGATAGCCTCCTAAACACCTAGTTTAACACAAGTTTAGAAGCTCTGCTGTGGTGAGAACCTTTCTTTACCACTTGATCACTTCCTTATTTCTCCCCTGAAGTGGGCAGAGGCCTTTATTTTTACATTTACATTTGCCTACATGCCTGTGGTTTCTACGAAACAGAACTCCTTGAGTACAGAGAGCAGTCTGTTCATTGTCACATCCTATCAGTGTTGTGCATAGTACAAAGGGTCAATAAAGAGTTAAATGACTGAATGAATATACTGGCCCCCAGGTAACTAATACAAGCTCTAATCTGGGAAACAACAAAACCAAAAAAACCTGACATTTTAAAATTTCCTTCCAAGTTAAACAAAATTAAGCATTGGCTACATCCAGGAAAACAAATCAAAATTTTATAAAACGTCTTCTACCTTTTTGAAGAAAAAGTGATTTGCCAAGTGGTTCAGTACCATAGGGTTGCTAGGGTCAATAGTATAGGCTCTGGAGAGAAGCTGGACACCATTTTTGATGGAATCAGCCTAAAAGAAAACAGTGCAACAGAGTGGAGTGAAAACACTACTTAATTAGTGCTTTTCTCAAGGTTTCTTGGGTCTTGAGTAATAAGGATGTACAACCCCAAGCTCAGGCACCACCATACAGCTTGTTAATCTTCATCAAGGACAAAAAATTTCATTTCAAATTATCAGTTATTAAATTGCTAGTACCTCCACTGTAAAGACCTCCCCACCTCTGATATTGGGTGCAGGTAATAAATACAGTATCAGTCTTAATAATTTATGTTGACTCTGAGGGCAAATAATGGAAGCCATCCCCCCAAAACACTGTTTTTCAGCAGCTTTTCAGAATTGTACACTTTAAGTGGGATTAATATGTGTCATATTCAGAGACAGAACTTATGTGACAGGAACCAGAAGCCTCTCAAGATTTTTAATACTGCATTTGCAATGAAATCCTTGTTTTAACTCCCAGTATTCGATCTGTACATGTGTGTGTGGGGGGGTTGTGTCCCTTTTTCTTTTTCCCCTTTAGTTCTTGCTTGAGGAATCTATTGATTCCTAGTCTAGTCTCAGCTGTCTTCTTGGTGTGGCAGTCATTTCACCCCTCTTACCTTGCTAACAGAATCAGATTTTGCAAACTGTGTAGACCTTTTGATTTCAGGAAGGAAAGCTCTCTTCCCTCTTCCCAATCCCAGGGGATGAATCAAGATTATTTAAACTCGTCATTATAAGGTAGTCTCCTTCTCTGCAGACTGGCGGAAGGCAGAAGTTCTCAACTGAAGACAATGTTATTTTTAGTCACCACAGCTGGGGAGATGTTTCGGGTACTTAGTGGGTAAAGGCCAGGGATGTTGCTAAACATCCTATGACAGACAGGAGTTACCCACAACAAAGAACTATCTAGCCCAAATGTCAACAGTGCTGATGCTGAGAAACCCTGGCAACCCTGCTGGGACAATTACAATTACATAAAGAAGCAGGACAGGAAGCTGCCTTCTCACATTGGCTGGAGTGTCTGTGAGAAAGCCCTAGAGGAAAACCCTTTGCTTTATGTAATAAGCACATAAAGCAATAATGTAATAAGCACACTTCTGGGGCTGCAGTAACCATCTTATGACTATGAGGTGATAGACACAAAGAAAGGTCATACATTAAGGGATGGTAGACAGAAAGTTATTGAAAAACTCTGGGTTTGGGGGGCTGGAGAGATGGCTCAGCAGTTAAGAACACTGTTCTTGCAGAAGACCTGGGTTCGAGTCCCAGCACCCACATGGCAGCTAACAACTGTCCATAACTCTAGTTCCAGGGGATCCGACAGCCTCTTCTGTCCTCCGTGGGCACTGTGTGACATAGGTGCACTTACCTACATGCAGGCAACACACGCATATACATAAAACAAAAACAAAAACAAAAAAACTCTGGGTTTGATGACACTGAAGTGTAACTTTGAGACCTTAGACATCTGGTTTAGCAAACTATAAAATGCTTATGTTTAAGTCAGTTGAATGTGTAGGTTTTTTTGTTACTTGCAATCAGACACATTCCAAACAGATATGTGGTCTACAATTTCTTATCTGAGAATCTAAAATTCAAAAAGCTCTAAAGCAAATTCTGAAGTGTGTGTTGGTCTTAAACTTGTTTGGGGAGACACCTCATCTAAGCTGTGAGGCCATCCTCTTGGTATGAACAGTGGCTCACTTCACCACAGAAATTGAAGTTTTCTCAGGAGTAGCATGTTACACAGAGACATCACCTTTCTATAATCTGAACTCTTGATCTCTATCTAAAGCATACCTGGCTCTAGAGTTCTAGAGAAGGGACCATAGACCTGACAAATTGGAAGGTAGAGAACTTTTTCCCCTCATACCTCTTTATTGTTGAGCTCTAGAACAGCCAGTCCAACCAGTGCTCCCACACATTTAGAGTTGAGTTCCAGGGCTCTGCTGAATGCGAGTCGAGCCTTCTCTAGTTTGTTAAGTTTGACAAAGCAATGGCCCATTCCTAAACGAACTTCAGCTAAAAAATAAAATAAAGTCAACTGTCCTGTCAATGTAGGACATTTTAAGCGTTCAATCACAAAAATGCTTAACATTATTTAGGAGGTGCAAAATTCCCCAATTAGCCGAAGTATCAATGCTCTATAAAAAAAAAAAAATTGCTTGGCCTATAACCTCATTAGAGATTAGACCATTCCATTCCACACTCCTCTCTCCTATCATGGGTACCATGCCCAGCATAAAACAAAATACCTAAAATAAATCAGACCCTAAAATGGTAATAAAAAAACAAAAACCACAATACTTATAAATACTGCAGTGTACCTCAACTACCATGCCTGCCTTCCTTCCTTCCTTCCTTCCTTTTTCCTGGTTGGTCTAGAACTTGCTATGTACATCAGCCTGGCCTTGAATTCACAGAGATCCACCTGCTTCTGTCTCCCCAAGTGCTGGGATTAAAGGTGTGTTGAGTGCCACCATGCCTGGCCCATTTCAATTTTTTTTTTGGGAGGGGTCTTCTTTTTTGAGTCAAGGTCTCCCTGTAGCAGCAGCTGTCCTGGATTCGCTAATAGGCACCAGGCTAGCCTCGAACTCACAGAGATCTGCCTCCTCTGCCACCCGAGTGCTGGCCCCATGTAGTGGGCCACATGCCTGGCTACATTTCAATTTTTAAAAAAGATTTTATTTATATTATTGTGTGTGCATATGCATGTACTCATCAGAGGATAATCTTCAAGAGTTGGCTCTTTCCTTCTACCCTGGATTCTGGGGACTGAACTCGGGTCATCAGGCTTTTGTGGCAAGCACTTTCACCCACTGAGCCACCTTGCTAGCCTGTTTCAAATTTTTTGAAGAGTAGTATTTTGATTTTAATTTTATTTATTTATTTATTATAATTTTATGTGTATGTGTGTATTGCCTGCATGTAGGTAAGTGCATCCATGTCATGTAATGCCTGTGAAGGACAGAAAAGGCTGTCGGATCCCCTCGAACCAGAGTTACAGACAGTTGTTAGCTGCCATGTGGGTGCTGGGATTTGAACCCGGGTCTTCTGCAAGAACAACCAGTGTTCTTAACTGCTGAGCCATCTCTCCAGCCCTGAAGAGTAGTATTTTTAAATAGACAACAGAAATTCATCAAGAATTTCAGTCTATGTCTGAGTACACATACACATAAGTCACTTCTGAGATATGCTGTTACATCTAACGTAACATGTCCCTATCTAAGGCTGATTCTCCACTGGTCCCTGGATCCCTTATCTTTTTGAAGGTGCTATCAGAGCACCCTAGTTTTCTTGCATAAAATTTTTCTGCTCTGGACCATTCTCAGTCACTTTCAAACATTCCCCATCTTAGAAAAAAAATCTCTCTTGATTTCATTTCCCTTTCTGGATGCCAACACATTCCTGTTCTTCCTTTGACAGAAAAACTCAACTGATCAAATACCTGCTACCTCTAAGTCCTTTCTTCCATTTTCTCTTGAAGCTACTTCTGGTGAGGCACTCTTTCCATCATTCCAGTAAAGCTGCTCTGATCAAGGTCACTAATGACTTATTCTCTGCTCACCCAATCATCAATTCATCCCTATTACACTTAGCCTAACCACAGAATGTGATGCAACCCATCACTTGCACCTTTGGAAATGTTTCATATCTGGCTTCAAGGACATCACTTTGCTGTCTCAGGTTGCTTTTCTGGGTCTTCCTCTTTTTCCTGACCTCTACATGTCAGATACTCCAGGGCTCTAACCCTGCACTCCTTTCCTGTATACACTCACTCCTCCTAAGTCTTCATGTGATCTCCTGGTTTTTATACTATCACTATGTTGGTGACTTCCAAATTAATCTGTTCAGCACAGACCCCTTTAAGTCTCCAAGACAAATGTTTGCTCTCTTGTTGCCTCTGATAGGCATTTTAACCTTCTTAAATCTAAAACTTTTTGGACTATCTTCCTTTTGGATTGTTTTCGAAATGTAGTAAAGTGTTAACTCCACTTAGAACTGCTTGTTCAATCTTTGACTTTTGCATCATATATCATTATCAACTCTCCTTTCAAAATTCTTCTAGAATGCGACCACATGCAGCATCCACTGTTACCAACCCCAGTATAAGTCATAATCACCTGTGACCTGAATGATTACAGGAGTCTTCTCCCTGGACACTCTACCTCCTTGTCCACTCACCCCACATCCCACTCTAATTTCAACTCAGCAGTTTAATGATCCTCTTAAATGTAAGTTAGATCATGTCACTCTTCTGCCAAAACCCCTCCAAAGGCTTCCCATGTTTGTCAAGAGTGAAAGCTTGAAGTCTCTCACATAATCTCAGACACTGGGTACCATCTTTGATATCATTTCCTTTTCCTTTCCATCTCTCTCCACTGTGGATACACTGGCCACCATATGGTCTCTCAGGTCTGTCAGGCAGTTTTTCTGAGGACCTTTGTACCTGCTATGTGCTCTCTCCAGGACATCTGATCATACGTCTGCATAGACCTTGGTTATTTTAGGACTTTACAGATGTTACTACCTCTGATGACTGTCCCTGGCCACCCTAAGTAATTCTTAAGGCTTCTCAGGTGTTACTGTTCTCCACTGTTAGCAATAACTTACATGGAATATGAAAGCTGAATTACGTGAGGGCAGGGACTTTTGTCTTTTGATTCACTGCTGTATTCCTTGCATACAACAATGCCTGGCACATAGCTGATACTCAACAAAAATATGCTAAATGACACTGGGGAGAAGAGTAGCACAAGTCAAAAATATGATAATATGACCTGCTATTCAGCTTTAAAAAAATTTTAATTAAAATTTATATTTATTTTATGTATATGGGTGGTCTGTATATTTATGTATATGGCTGTTTTTGCATATATGTAAGTACACCCATGCCATATAATGCCCAGGGAGGCCAGAAGGGGTTGGATCCCCTGGAACTCAAGTTACAGATGGTTCTTAACCACCATGTGAGTGCTAGGAACTGAACCTGGGTCCTCTGCAAGAGCAGCCAGAGTTTTTAAACGTTGAACCATCTCTTCCAGCCCCTGCTACTCAGCTTTTAAATAAAACATAACACTAAGAGAAAAAAACCTTCGCAGGTATGTGCATATTTGTGTGTGTTGTGTGTGTATGTCTGCATGCCTGAAGCTGATGTTGGGTATCATCCTCCATCACTTTCACTTTATTTACTGAGGCAGGGTTTCTCAGTGAACCCAGAGCTTGCCAATTCTGACTAGTCTAACTAATCAGCTTGCTCCTGGGATCCATCTCTGCCTTCGGAGTGACTGGGTCCCAGGTGGCCAGCACACCTGCCTAGTGCTTCCATGGACGCTGGGGATCCAAATCCCAGTTCTCATGCTTGTGCAGGCACTTTATATACCAAGCCATCACTCTAACCTCAGAACAAATAATCTTGACCCTGCCATTTCATTACTTCAATAGTACCTTTTAAAACTGACTTCACAAGTAACTGCCAAAGTCTCATCGTTTTAACTTGGGTCATGAACAGCTCCGGAATAGTTTTCTCTTACCTGGACATCCTGGGTTAGTACGCAATGCTTTTTTATAGTAAGCAAGAGCTCCTCTGTAATCCTTCTTGTTGAATGAAATGCAAGCTTTACCTGTAATGATTTAAAAAATAAACAGTTTGATTAAAGAAAACAAATCTAATGTTTTACACTAACTTATCTAAATGAAATTTATAGCTCAGTAAGAAATACTTTAAAAAACTGAACATGATTTTAAAAAATACTTTATTACTTATATTTTATGTATGAGTGTATTGCTTGCATGTAAGTAAGTGCACCCAAGTCATGCAATGCCCAGGAAGATTGAAAGAGGGTATCAGATTCCCCTGGAACTGGAGTTACAGATGTTGTCAGCCACCATGTGTGCGAGGAATCAAATCTGAGTCCTCTGCAAAAGCAACCAGTGATCTTAACCACTGAGCCATTTCTCCAGCCACCCCGCCCCCCAAAAAACACAAAAAAACCCGATTTTTGTATTAAAAACCTGCTTTTGGGGCTGGAGAGATGGCTCAGCAGTTATGAGCACTGACTACTCTTGCAGAGGACCCGGGTTCAATTCCCAACACCCATATAACAGCTAACAACTGTCTATAACTCAAGTTCCAGGGGATCCGACAGCCTCTTCTGTCCTCCGCGAGCATTGCACAACACGGGTGCACTCACATACATGCAGGCAATACACTCATACACGTAAAATAAAAAAAAAAATATATATATAAAAAATAAAAAACAAAAAAACCCCTGTTTTCCAGTTTCTACCTACAAAGAGATTATTTGTTGACTCTTTGGGAACAAGTAACAAGTTATTTTTGACTAGGCTACACACACACACACACACACACATAAAAAATTACATTTATTTGTGTGTGTGTGCAAGTGTGCGTGTGCTCACGTACATACATAGGTGCACAGATGCCATAATGTACACGTGGAGATCAGAGAACTTGCAGGAACTGGTTTTTCTCTTCTGCCATGTGGGTCCTGGAGCTCGAACTCAGGCTGTCAGGTGTGGCAGCAAGTGCTAAACAATCTCACCAGTCAGGGATGTGTTTTTATTTCTACAATTTCCACAATAATCTGTTGTGGACAGTTTCATTTGTAACAATATAAAGCTCTGCTACTTTGTTACTCAGCTTGGGTATAAAGAGCCATTACACAAAGTCTGTGCAAATGCTGAACAGCTAGATTCCTAAGATGGCTGCCAAGGAAAACTCACCAAGAAGGGCTGGAATATTATTTGGAGATTGGTTAAGAACAAAATGAAACTGTGCATCAGCTTGATCCATTTTGTCACCTTCAAGTAGGCAGAAGCAGGCTCTTCCCAGCAAATGGTTCTGTAATGTACAGATTTATCTCAGACTAACCAAAATTTACCATGAGCATGTAAAACTAAAATGCCAACCATACAGGCAAGAAGTACCGAATAACACAAATTCCTCCGTAAGTGACACGTGTAAGCTACCAAGAAGCAGCTTTTAAGATATCCCGAAATGCAAATTTGTGCCAATGACAAACACAAGTTCAAATTCTTTAAAATCTGCTTGAAATTTACCTGAAAACGTTGAAACTGCTGACTCAATATGAGCTAAGTCATATATGCTAAATTTGCCCAATTTCAACAGTACAAAGACTAATGCAATTCCAATTTTAATAAACCCTTCTTTTTGACTTTATCAACAGGTTTTTAAAAAAATATTATTTTTATTTTATGTGTATGAGTGTATTGCCTGCATGTAGGTAAATGCACCCATATCGTGCAATGCCTGCGGAGAACAGAAGAGACTTGGATCCCCTGGAAATGGAGTTATAGACAGTTGTTAGCTGCCATGTGGGTGCTGGGATTCGAACTCAGGTCTTCAGCAAGAACAGTGTTCTTAACCGCTGTGCTCTCTCTCCAGCCCCTTATCAACAGGTTTTTTTAATAAAAATTCTTTCACAAAAAATCTGTGATTTTTTTTCTTTCATAAATTCAAACAATTTGATCAAACAACTTTACCTGATCATACATAATAATTTTATCAGCCATTGTATACAACAAGGTTGCCTGTGTGATAAGGTCCTTCTTGTTGTCTTTATTCTTTTCTTTCCGAGCCTGTTGTACATAATAAGCTGCCAATGTATCCAAGCAAGTCATCTGGTCTTTTTCATGGTCTCTGTAGTCCAAATTGCCATCAATACGTGCTGCTTCCAACAGCTTCACAAACTCTTCTGTTTTCCCTTGCTTGTAGTATTCCAGCTATAAGGCAAAGGATTAAAGCAAAAACATTAAAACAAATGTCCATATTAAAAAATTGAACATAAATGTTTATAGAAATTTTATTTGCAATAGCAAAAAAGAAAGCCAAATATTGATTAATGGGTGAATGGATAAATAAGCTATTGTGTGTCTCTACTTTGTGATGAAAAAGAGTGGACTATTGATATTTAATAAAATCAATTTATTGATACTGATATAAAAGGAACAAACTATTGATATTCAACATGGATAAATCTCAAAATAATTATGCTCAAAGAAGTCAATCCCCAAGAGAATACATACTATGTGATTCAACTAATGTAAGACCCTAGAAAATGTTCAATAACAAAAATGCACAAAGAGTAGACTGTGGTCACTGGACACTGGGGGTTGGGGAAGAGGCTGTGAAGGAAACTTTTGGGGCAATGGGTACATTCACTGATCTTCAGTGTGGCAATGGTTCATTGTATGAGAAACAGTATCAAATGCTACACTTCAAGTATGTGCAATTTATTTTAGGTCAACTAGACCTGAATAAGGCAATTAAAAATTGCAATCACCAAAACTGCTTGTTTCTTATCTAGCAATAGTTGATTTCAAACTAAAATGTTCAAATAAGCAAAGTCTGAGAAAGAAAGCAATAATGGATATAAAATTCTAAGTAAGTGAGGAGAGATAAGGTGGAGGGGAGGGAGAGAAGATCAAAGTACATTACAAGCTTGCATGAAAATATCTTTATGAGGGCTGAAGAGATAGCTCAGTGGTTAAGAGCAATGGCTACTCTTGCAGAGAACCCAGGTTTGATTCCCAGCACCCACATGGCAGCTAACAACCATCCATAACTCCAGTTCCAAAGGGATCTGACGCCCTCTTCTGACCTCTGTAGGCACTGCATGACACAGGTGCACTTACATACATGCAGACAATATATTCATACATATAAAATTGAAAATAAATAAATAATAAAAATAAGAGTACTGTCTGCTTTTCCAGAGGACATGGGTTTGGCTCCCAGTGCCCACATGGCAGCTAACAACCATCCATAAATCCAGTTCCAGGGGACCCAATACCATCTTCTGAACTCTGCAGGCATTGCTGACATGGGCGTACTTACAAGCATGCAGGTGATACACTCATACACATTAAAAAAAAAAAAAAGCTAGGCATGACAGCACACAACTATAACTCCTACACTAGGGGAACAGAGACAGGCAGAACCTGGGAGCTTGCTGGCCAGCCAGTCTAGCTGCAATGGTGAGCTCCAGGTTTAGTGAGAAGACTGCCTCAAAAAATAATGTGGAGAGCAATCAAGGAAGACACTAATTGTCAACCACTGGCCTCCACATATACACACAGGGATATGGATACCCACACGCAAACACAAGTATACCAGCCCTGCCCCCCCCGCCCCCACAAAAAAAAGAAAAAATAGAATTCTCACTGAAGATGTAGTTTGTCTAGTATGAATGAAGCCCTGGGTTCAATCTCCAGCACCACATAAACCAGGTCTGGTGGCATATCCTTACAATCCCAGCACTCAACAGGTGGAGGATCAGAAGTTTAAGGCTTTCCTTGGCTATATAGTGAGTTTGAGGCCAGCTTGGACTACATGAGACCCTGTCTCAAAAACTAAAACCAAAACCCAACATGGGTTCTGGTTTTAGCTCTACCAAAAATTATCAATGACTTTGGGCCAGATGAGTACCTTCCCTATGCATCTGCTTCATTTATAAAGAATATCTATCAGATTTTAACCACTGTCTACAGGTCATATACCATGGCAGGAACTTGACATATTTCCTCTCATCTGTACTACCATCTTACAGAGTACTAATACTCTTTTATTTTATATGAGGAAAAAATCTAGAAGTTGCCTTATTTGTCTAAGGCCAAAGAGCAACCAAACTGGGACTTGAACAAAGGCCTCTTTAATCCCCAAAAATACACTTTCTCCTGCAAAAACCTACATCCTACTGTGCCTCATCAGTTTATTCTACGAGTTTCCTTCTGGCTTTAAAAATGAATAATGGGATTAATGGTTCGGTCTCTAGGGAAGAGGAAAAGGTAGCACTTCCAGCCAAAAAGACAATGCTTGTCAGTAACAGTTCTTTGTATATTCACATGTACATGGAAGGCATTCTTTTTGTTGTTTTCTTTTGTTTTTGAGACAGTCTCATTGTGTAGCCCAGACTAGCTTCAAATTTGTAATCCTCCTGCCTCAGACTCCTGAGTGCTGGATTTCAGAAGTGTGCCATTGTATCCAGCTGGGACAGTATCCTGAAGAGTAGGCTTCTCAGGAAATAAATGCAAGAACTGACATAACCACAAGGGCTGGGCATGGTGGTACACACCTTTATTCTCAGCACTCAGGAGGCAGAGGAAGGTGGATCTCTATGAGATCGAGGCCAGTCTGTCTACATATTGAGTTCCAGGCCAACTGGGACTAGAGGGAGACCCTGTCTCAAACCAACCTACCTACCTACTACCTACTACCTACCAACAACAAATTGAATGTATCTGCACAGCAAAGGAAATAGTCAACAGAGTAAAGAGATAGCCTACAGAACAGGAGAAGAATCTTTGCCAGCTATTCACCTAACAGAGAGAGAGAACTCATTTCCTGAATAGGTAAAGAAGTCAAAAAACAACAAACAACAGATGAATAAAGAAAACATTTTTATGTAAACAGTTTTATTTAGCCATAAAGAATGAATCATGCCATTTGCAGAAAAATGGATGGAGCTAAAGTCAGATACAAACAGCCAAGGATCACATAATTTTTTTCATATGTGGAAGCTGGAATTGAGGCAAGGAAAAAAAGACAAGCTGCAGTAGTACAGGTTAAAAAAGCAGATCCGAGGACTGGAGAGATGGCTCAGCGTTAGGAACAATGTCTGTTCTTGATGAGGACCCGGGTTCGATTCCTAGCACCCACATGGCAGCTAACAACAATCTGTAACTGCAGTTCCAGATGTGATGCTGTCTTCTGACCTCTGTGGGCATTGTATGACAAGGGTGTACCTACCTACCTACATGCAGGAAATATACATATAAAATAAAAATAATAGAATTTTTTTTAAAAAGTAGCAGATGAACCATTAGAGAAGGGTAAGGGGGGGGTAAGAGAGCGTAGTTGGGAAAGAACACATGACACAATACCCGCATATATGGTAATGTCTCAGGGAAATCCATTAATATGTACAATACGTACTAATAATTATGTATTTTAAAGAGTACTTGGGAGGCTGAAGAAGGAAGACTGAAAGTTCAAGACCAGCCTGGGCAACTTAGGGAGAGTCTATTTCAAAATGAAAGGTAAAACAAGGCTGAGGACATAGCTCTGTGACAGAGTGCATGCCTAGCATTTGCAAGGACCCAGGTTCACTATCCAGCACTGCAAAAACCAAATCAAACCACAGGAGACTTGAGCAACTGGTCTGCCCAATTCCAAACCTATTTCTCTGATCCCGTCAAATAATATTAGGAACTTCTTAGTATCTTCATATGAAAGCCACTTATGGTATACCAGTTTAGGAATAAAGATTACAGCATTAATATGACCTATTCTTAAAAAAAGGAAACATCATGTTAGGAGCAGAAGGTATAAAATTTTAGGCTTTCAGATTGGATTTTCCTGAGAACTTCTAGTAACAGCCATACCATGAGAGGCAGGAACAAACAGGATGAAAAAACCCCCATAAAGTTGAAATACACTTCACCCAAAAGGGCTTTTATGGCTTGGGACCTAATCACCTTCCCGAGAATGTACAAGGAATGTTTTACTGTTATGGGAAGTGATGTTTATACAGTCTACTATACATAAGCCAGTCTCACTGAATTACCCGAGTCATCAAAACGTCAATATAGAGAACTATGTATCTTAAATGAATTTTGTCTTTATCGATATTCATTCATTTATCAGCATATGTGCACATCACTTAGGAAACTGGCCTCACTGTTTCATGTGATAATACAACTGAACTTGATACAGATGTTAGATTCATTTATCACATAACCAAGAGGCCTATCATTGTACCTGAAAACCAAAATCACCTATTTTTCCAGTCAACAAATAAAAAATGATTTGCTGGATGAATACTGACCGCCAAAGCAATCCATATGTGCAGCTGCGTGTGCTCCTGCTTCAGAATGCTGATAACTTCATCTCCCTCCGGTAACTGATCGAAGTCAAGTTCAATGACCTAAAACACAAAGCGAAGGTTTGATCTCATTTCTTTTTTAAATTCAGTTTTTTTCTTTCCTGCATTTTTTGAATGTACATCAATATGCCTATACAAGGGGAATGTACTCACTTGCAATAGGTGGACTAATACACGCTAATATTTAGGGAGTGCACGACTGTAGAGCAATATTCAGGTCAAAGACAGAGAAGCAAAGGCATTCTACGAGTCTCCATTTTACTAAAACTATACTATTCTCCAGATGCCTTGCTTCCGCAAAACCAACAGAACAAAACCTTGTATAACCCATGATCCAAGTAAAGTCCCGATGCCATAGGTCTGAGAGCCTGAGAAACACGACCCCTGAGGCCAGGCAAAGTTGAATGCCGTTGCACACATAATCATGGAGCCAGTATTTGTGTGCCACAGACACTCCTGAATGTGGGCACCAAAAGCAGAAGGAAAATGTTCTGTAATCAGATCAAGGCAATGGTGTGACACAATCCTGCAAATCCACCAAAAACCACCGGATGGTGTAAACGAATTCTATCTCAAACGAAATGAAGACTGAACTTGAATCAGAGCTGGAGCTTTACTGGGACGAGCCACACGCCACCCAGGAAGGAGCGTCGGTCAAAGAGAGCGGGCTACTTCGAGCAGCACACGGCAACGGCTGAGCCGTGAGGCTCCTCATTCCCGCGGATGCAGCCGAATGTGGACACAGTGTGCCAGGACACCCTGGCTTCGAAGACAGCAGGCAGACCTCGGCGTCCAGCGGTCCCCGAGCTCCACCTGGCGCCCTCCCAGCCCTGCGCCCGGAAATCGGGGAACACCGAGTACTGTCAAGTAGCTGTGGGCTGGAGAACTTTCTCCAAGTCCTGGGAGCCGGGGGCGGAGTAAGGGGGGGTGGGGGGGCAAGTGAGAAGCGTCTCCGCCCGAAGCCCGACCTCGGCTCTGTCCTCGGAAGCCAGGTCGGCACCGGGATCCGAGCTCACGGCCCTCCGCCGCGCCACACTCGACACCCACCTCGTCAGTGTCCCGGAGGGGAATCTCGATGGAGCCCCGCGACATGGTGAGCTCGGAAGGCGAGCGCGGCCCGCCCCGCAGCTCTGCAGCGCGCAGTCCCGGCTTTCCGCCGCTCAGACGCTAAAGCTCGGGATTGCGCCGCGCCTCACGCTCCGCCGCGCCTCCAGAGCTCCGGCTTCTTCTTCCCCGTCAGCCACCGAAACAACGAGCCGCGGACGGCGACCAGACACTTCCGGAGGACCCGCCCCCTGCCCCCGGAAGCATTACCGTGGGGCGTGTCTCGCTCAAGCTCCGCCCCGCGGCTCTGGCGCGTCCCTCTCTGGAATGACCGTACCCTGGAAGTGAGTCTGGCGGCCGCAGGTGACCCCAGCGTCTTCGGGGGCTCCCGGCGTCCGCAGACCTTTGCGCTGGCGCGGTAGTCGAAGCCCCGCCCTGTGATGGGCGGGACGCCGGGTGACGTGTGTGGGCGGGGCCTGGCCTCGCTTGTTTTTCTTCTCTAGCGGGTTGGAGATAGTTCAGGGTTTGATTGTTCGTCCAGCGACTAATTTGTAGGAGTCTCTCCAGTGATGTCTTTATGACCGACTCAGTGAATCCTGTAGTCCTGGTGATAACGCATGGATTATTTTTTTAATTTTTGGTTGCATTTTATTTTTTGTGGGTGGACCGGTACACGTGTGCCACGGTGTGTTAATGGAGGACAGAGGACAGCTTATGGGAGTCGGTTCTCTCCTTGCACTATGTGGGTCACAGGGATCAAACCCAGGTTGTCAGGCTTGATGCCATGTGGCTTTACCCACTGAGCCATCCTGCCATCTCACTCGTCCTATTTGTGTGTGTGCGTATGTTCTTTTTAAAAAAATTTTAAATTTTATTTGTGTGAGTGTGTTGCTTGCACGTTATGTGTCCTGCAATGCCGAGGAGGCCAGAAGAGGGCGTCAGATTCCCCTGGAACTGGAGTCAAGGACGGTTTGTAGCTGCCATGTGGCTGCTGGGAATCGAACCCTGGTCCTCTGCAAAAGCAGCCAGTGTTCTTAACTACAGAGCCATCTCTGCAGCCCCGGTGTATGTTCTTAAGACCACTTTATTTTTCTTAAAATTACCTATAATCCCAGCACTTGGGAGGCAGAGGCAGGTGGATTTCTGTGAGTTCAAGGCCAGTCTGGTTTACATAGTGAGAGTTACAGGCCAGCTGGGGCTACAGGGAGACCCTGTCTCAAAAAATAATAATAAATAGCTTTATGCGTGTGAGTGTTTGCCTGCGAGTATGTTCGCCGCTTGTGTGCTTTTTGCCTGAGGAAACCAGAAGAGGGCTTCGGATGCCCTGAAATTGGATTTACAGATGATTGTTAGCTGTGGTGTGGGTGCTGGGAATCGAACCCTGGTCCTCTGCAAGAGCGACAAGTGCAATTAAGAGCCGAGCCATTCTCTAAGCCCTGATTTTTTTCTTTTGAGACAGGATTTCACCTTGTACCCCACATTGGCCTAGAACTATGTAGTCCGGGTTAAACTCAAACGCTCCACCTTCCTCATGCTCCTGACTGCTGAGATTACAGGCGTGAGCTTTGACGCCTGGCTGCTTCTTTGGTATATTTATATTTCTTTGAAAGCACATTAAGAGGATCTGCTAGATTTGATTTTAATAAAATTGGAAGAATTTGATTAAACCTAAAAGCAGTGTTTTGATTAAATTATACAATTTGTTTGAATACGTTTTAATTGGTGATTTCATTGTAGAAGACCATTATTGAATTAGTTGTCTGTGTTTTGAGTAAATCAGTGAAGAATCTCAGTAAGCAAACTTGTAAACAATGCCAGCTTTACTTCCGGTGTTTTCTGAGGTATCAGTGCTCTTCATCTCCATTTCCCTCAGTGGAACCCAAGCCACTCTTGTCCCTTGCCTGCAGTAGCATCCTGACTTACCCAGTACTCCATCCACTCTGGCTCCAAGCTCCAACCTAGCATCGGCCATGTTACACACTTAGGCTTAAAAATGACCAGTTTGGGGGCTGGAGAGATGGCTCAGTGGTGAAGAGCACTGGCTGCTCTTGAAGAAGACATGGGTTCGATTCCCAGCACCTACATGGTGGCTAACAACCATCCATAACTCCAGTTCCAGAGGTTCCAATAACCTCTTCTGACCTTCGCAGGCTTTGCACAGCATGGGTGCACGTATACACGTGCAGGCAATACACTCATACACATAAAATAATTTTAAAAGTTACCAATTTGTTCCTGTGTTCCTCAACTCCTTTAAAACCCTTGAGAAGAAATTTTATTAAAATTATGTTTTAGCTGGGCGTGGTGGTACACGCCTTTAATCCCAGCCTGGTCTACATAGGGAGTTCCAGGACAGCTGGGGCTACAGGGAGACCCTGTCTCAAAAAAAGACCAAAGGAAAAAAAACTATGTTTTGACTTACCAGTTGTATAACTATTTCAGTGTTTTGATCAGTGCTCTCCATCACAAATATAATGTAGGAACATAAACAAATGAGTGGAGGGCAGGTAAAGTTGAAAACCTGGCTACGCCAATCATGCTGGACATTTCCATACAGAGCAAAAGCTCACCGCATAAGTAAGTGCTGATATCACCCCACAGTGGGAAACACTGAACACCATGTGCTCTGAAATAAAGCATGGTAGCGTGATGTTTGACTACCCATAGTCACCAAAGAGTCTACTATTTAGCATTTCCCATGATACTGATTTCTCTGAAAAAAAACAGTTGCTGACTTTAAGTGTAAAAGTTGGAAGATAATTTGGAGGCACATGGTAATCACATGAAAAAAGTGTTCTTTTCCCACTGACCAACTATAAACCTCGGAACCTTTGGTGTATGTACATTTGATGAACCAATCCTTCTAAACCTGAAGTTCCTTCAAAACTTGGCCAACTGTTTTGTTTTGTTTATTTATTTTTAATTATCATTATTGTTGGGTGCAAAGGTGTCAGTGTGGAGGTCAGAAGACAACTTGCAGGAGTCTGTTCTCTTCTTCCACTGCTGGTTCTGGTGATCAAACTTAGGTATCAACCTTGTGTAGCAAGATATTTATACTTACTGAGACATCTAGCTAGCCCACAAATGTTTTTGTAAGTGAACTTTTTTCCTAAATGTTTCTGTGTTTGAGAACTTTTCCTTCCTTCCTTCCTTCCTTCCTTCCTTCCTTCCTTCCTTCCTTCCTTCCTTCCTTCCTTTTTTCCCTTCTTTCCTTTTTTTCTTTATTTGAGGTAGGATAAGACTATCTTATAAGATCCTATCTTATTTGATAAGATTTGGATTTTTTTTAAAGATTATTTACTTTTAATTATGTATTTGTGTGTGTCTGTGAGAGTGTGTGTGTCAGTGAGTGTCTGGGAGTGTGTGTATGTGTGTGTGCGTGTGTGTGTGTATGTGAGTGCAGTGCCTTTGGAAACCAGAAGATGGTGTCAGGTCCTCTGGAGCTGGAGTTTCAGGCAGTTGTAAGCTGCCCCACATGGATGCTGGGAACCAAACTTTTGTCCTCTGGAAGAGAAGTATTCTCTCTTAACTGCTGAGGTCATCTATCTAGTTGCTGGGTTTGGGTTTTTATTTTAGTAACAATGTGACTGAAACGTTTTAAATAATGTGTCTACATCAAGGAAAGAAAGACAAAAGGAGAAGGAATTGATTTTGTGACTTTAAAAGACTGGGCAGATTGCTTAGCAAAATGATACATAGGAATGGGTTTAAGGTGGTGGAGGTATTTAGCAGTGAGTGGTTTGAGGTGCATCTCTCAGTTGATTGATCAGTGGGTATCTTGAATGCAAGGATTTTCCACTGTATTGGATTTGAGGGGGGCTGTTGTTGATACTTTGGTTGGTATCAGTGTTAGTAAACACAGCCCATCTGAAACTGAGCCCATCTGAAGAGTGAGCTATTTCATATGTTGATACAATATTTTTAAAAAGCATAAGGAATATCTCATCTTGACAAAGAATAGTCTAGATCTTCAATTAGATATCTTTTTTAATTAATTAATTTTATTTTATATGTATTTGTGTTTTGCCTGCTTGTATGTAAGGGCGCCACTTGCACACAATGCCCATGGAGGCCAGAGAGGGCATCAGATCCCCTGGAATTGGAGTTACAGATGGTTGCTAGCCACCATGTGGGTGCTAGGAACCAAAACCAGGTCCTCTGCAAGAGCAGCCATTACTCTTAGCTACTGAGCCCCCAGTAAGATAACTTTTAAGTGGCAATGTCCACAGGTGGAGGTATTTTAGACAGTTTGTACACTTTTTTGTTTTATTTTTGTTTGTTTTTGAGACAGTGTAACCCTGGCTGGCCTGAAAGGTGTTATGTAGACCAGGCTGGCCTCCAACTCATAGATCCACTACCTCTGCCTCCCAAGTGCTGGGATTAAAGGCATACACCAATCATGTCTGACCTTGTATGCATTTTTTGAGAAAGAATTAGAAACTATAATTAGTTTGCTATGGCTTCTATGGGTGACTTAACAGAAATTAACTTTCTCACAGCTCTGGGAGTCTGAAAGAGATCAAGATGTTTGGCAGGGCTATTTTTCCTTCCTGTGGTCTCTGTTCTTGGCTTGTGTGTGCCTACTTTCTCCCTTTGCATGTACACAGTTATTCCCCCTTTGTGTGTCTAAGTTCTTACTGCCTTTGTTTATTAACATCACCCATGTTGGATTAGGGATCTCCTAAATGACCTCATTTTACTATAATTACATTGTCAACACTTCTGTCTCTAAATACAGTCACGTTCTGAAGTACTGACCGTTAAGACTTTAACATAAGAATTTTGTCTCATCAGATTATAATAACCAGAAAATGTTCCTGCTAAAATGCCCAAATTTTCTGAATTAAAAAAGGAGTATACAAAATAAAAAAATGAAAAATTTTTTAAATGAAAAAAGGCATGTCCATCCTCATAAATGCTTATTTGAATAATCTAATGATTTGACATTTAAACCTCTGCTAAGGTTCCCCATATAGTGCTAGGTGAGGGCAGGGTGGTGTTTTTCATATTCCAGGGACTTGTGTTTCGATATTTGTAAGGAGATAGAATTAAAGCCTTCAGATCCATGCTACGTCCCTTAAAAGGCCACATAAGTAAAAGGAGGGGGCATGTGTGAAATCCCATGAACACAGGAGACAGTCTGTCCTGTAGGTATTAAAAGTTAAGGATAGGGGCTGGAGAAATGACTCAATGGTTAAGAGTGTTTGCTGCTCTTGCAGAGGACCCAAATTTGATTCCCAGCATTTTCAGTGGGTGGCTTA